AGCCGGTACTCCATTTCAAGCTGTTTCCTAATCGCAAGAGTGCCGAAGAAGCGGCGCGCTCAGCTGGCAAGGGCAACCCGCCCGTTCACCATACAGTTCATGGACCTGGAGAGCGACCTCATTTTCATCCGGCTGATCGCTATGGCAATATTATTAAAGACGGGTCCCACTATGAATATCCTCGTTGATAAAGACTCACATATTTATTATAATATCAAACTTTATTACTTAGTTCCGCAAGCATTTCTTGTAAAAACTAAAATTGCATTTACTGATTCAATAAATGTTCAGTAATCTTTATTGCGGAGGGTTCACAGTATGTCATATAAACCAAGCATAAGTGAATTTATTAAAATAACACTTTTGAAGAGTCTAGAGCGGCTGATATGAAATGTGTAAAAGGTATTATTAGCATCTAAGACCTCTTGCTTTGGTCGCCGAATAAAGATTTTAAAAAAGTCAGTTCTTCGTGATATAACAGACGTAAAAGAAAATTGTCCGAGAGCTTGATTTTGGTGCGTTGGTTTCTAACTCTGGACAGTGTGGAAGCATAAAAATTTCGTCACGGATGTATGTTGTGGATGTGAAAGATTTTATTATCCATATTTCGCTGACAATGAAGCCGTCGTAGTTTTTCTAAACAACATGAACATAAACGCCAACATCCAACTGCAGCACTTCACAACTAGATACTTTCAGCCAAACAACGACGTTTGTTCGTTTCCATCATAAAGTGTTCCACTTTCATTGGGTCCCTTCTTTATGTGCGTGTTTTGTTACTATTCTCTCTCATTTCCAATCAGTCTGACTGAAAACATTAAGCTGATAACGACCTGTCAGAAAAGAATAAAGCGAGAGTGAAATGAATTATAAAATAATAATAATACCACAACAACAAAAAAGAGACATTTATATGGTCGCATAGATAAAACAAGTCATCTGTTTCGGTTGTGTCTTTCAATAAAATGAAAGACAAAAGGCTTGACGTGTCTTGATAAATTCACATTTTGTGAACAAACAATTATATCAAATACTATGACTAAATTAACTTCAAAACTAAATTTGAGGAATATCAAATGTCTGATTTTGCTCAGTGGCAGCGCGAAGAGGTCCGAAGCATGAGGGGATAAATCGTAAAATCGGAGTAAATCAGAGCACCTTTTTTTATTGTTCAATTTCATCACTTATAAAATGATGCTTATATCTCGCTAAGATAGGATCCACATCTGATTTTTATGTCAGAAAAGTTTATGTTCACGAACAATATAATACAAAAGCGAGTAAAAAAAATGAAATGATCGTTATTAGTTTGTTGATTTCAAAGAAATATCATCTTGCACCGATTACTTCCTTCTGTATTTTGGACTTATTTTTACCGGGCTTTATAGGCGATTGCTTTTATACTTTTCTCAGTTAATCTGAACGTTTGAAACTATGGAAAGATTTTTTCCAAAATCTCGATAAGGACACGGCTAAAGCTTTGTACAACAAAATAGCCAATAAAAATGGAATAAAATAGTATATGAACGATGGTTCGGTAACATACCATCAAAAAGAAACAGATCGTTTTCGAATATCCTATATCTGCTCTCAATCAACGAGTACTCATATTTGCCCATCTTCTTCCATGAACAGGAGAGGATGCAACTAGCATGTGATACAAAAAGCCAGCTCTTGAAAGAATGCTCACTTGTCACTATTTCTGTTAAAAAGTGATGTCTTCAGCATACTGTAGAATAAATGATGTATCCTATGATTATAGGCAGTGTTAAATGAAGACACGATTCGAACTAGAATGATTCTAAGGATTAAAAAATTGCTGTGTGATTTGCTTTTCACAATGTAGTTGTCCCATTCGTATACTGAAAACATTGCTTTTTAACAGTAACTAATCTACCCATAGCAGTGAAATTCTTATTTTTTTAGCACCAAACGGATGTGTACTTAAATTAAATCACTTTTAAGTCGTTTACACGGGGTTATACTGTTTTACAGACGTGCGCCCTGGTGGGAACAGTTTGTGGCTACAACAAAACATATAAACTTTATGTATCTATAACATAAACATCAATCTTGCTTGTGCAATATGTGTAGATATACGTTATATACTTGCAAAATATTTCTTTCAGTCGCTAACACAAATAAGAGCAAAGTTACAAACCTGTCCGCGTATACATTTTTACAGAAACGCGTTTTCCATCTGCAACAATGTAATTTTGTATTGTAAGAAGCTTTTTCTGTGAGGGTCCAGGAGTGAAAGATGAAGCATTGCTAGTGTCTACACTCCAAAAACTGCTACAATATTATCTACAGAAGTTGTAGAAGATTTGTCCACGCGTGTCTACAGCAGAGCTAGTCAAGTTTTCCACATGAGATATACGAGAAACTCCTACTCTTAATGGAAAGCAGAAAAGATCGATCACTTTTTTTTTACTTCTGGTTAAACAAAGTACACGACGAATGTTCGACGGATAAAAAATTTGGTTGAGATACCCAAGGCGCAAAATGCTACATGAAATCACATTATTCGTAAGACTGTGTGTGTGCTCGCATGCACGAACCCAAAATCTTCAACTTACGGATAGAGTATTTTTAATATTAAACAAACAAAACACGCAAGGACCTAGAAATATATGTATCTGTAAGAGTGGCTCTATACACGAAAGGTACGTGTAGGTTCTTCTATCGTTTCAGCAACGATGAAAGAAAATATGTAAAAAATGAGAGTTTTTTGTTTCTTTCTTCGTGATGACGCTGACATATGTGTACTTTTGAAATACCTTGACAACGTTTGAAGTAAAGAACTACTGCCAAAAGAAGAGATGCAGAAGACGACGAAAAACAGACGTTTATCGCAATTGTGTTTTATTTTTCAGAAAAATCTTTCTTTTGAATAAGTATATCAAATTTTAGCTCTACTATCTTAATAGTTTTGAAGGCCGTGATGGATCTAGAAGGAACAGTAAGATCCCGTGGGCTGAATTCCACCATGGAACAAACACTAACAGCTCCTTTAAACAACACGATGGATTTTTTGGTAATGTTTTTTTCTCTCATGAATATAAGAGAAAAATAACGTGCTATAAATTTAGGGAGGTAATCAAATGGAAACTATCGTTGACTATGAACAATTATTAGATGAAAATGCACGTGAATGTACGTAAATTCTCGTTCGTTCTCAAGTAATTGCATTCCAAGATTTGTCATACATGTCTTATTCTCGTTTATAGCATTAAAATTTGGTTTTAAAAAAATGGCGAAGAAAAACGATTTTATCCGAATTGAAGAAATAGGTGATGCCTTCCGACATTCAGGTCAAAATCCATCAACCGATGTCGTCAAAGATATGATCGATAAGGCAAAAACCTTAAAAGCTCCTTCCGATTCTTTTTCAGGTAAATTTGTCTTTTCAATTCAGTGTTCCACTAATATGTACATATCGAAGCGTTCAACTTTTTGTAGAACCAGATGATAAACTATCATTAGCTGATTTCTTAACGGTTGTTCATGAATACTGGTATCCGATTGACGAAGATAAAAAAATATTAGAAGAAGCATTTGATGTATTAGATCCAGAACGAAAAAGTAAATTATTTGTAGATGATTTCAGAACATTATTAAAAAATTCTGATTGGGCAGATGAAGAAATTGATTTAATTTTATCAACAGTTAGTTGTGCAGATGGATTTTTTCTCTATGATGGTATGAATTACATGAACTAAATTTAATTACAATTTTAAATTTTTTTATATTTTTAGATTTGATGAAATTGTTGTTAAGTCCTGTTGAATTAGCGAAAAAAAAATCGGCAAAAGGTAGTGGCAAAGAAAAGAAAAAAGCTTAATTTGAATATTTTGTAAAACAATTCAACTAGTAATATGTCGCAATTAAATAGAATTTTATGATTCGTTCACTATCAATGAACTGAATACAATGGTCAGATATATTTACTTCAGAAAAAAGCCAAATATGTTTATTTGGGATATTTATAACATTTAATACAGTTGAACGTTTTTGATAACCTCATTGTTATTCTTTTTAATATAGTTGTTTATTTGTGATTTATAATTATTGTATTTAAACCTTAGATTTTGTACCTATTCGCTACTAATTGTGTTATTCTAACTAAATATTTGTTATTCTTTTTAAAAAATCTTTTGTGTATGGTTGTCAACAACTATAGATTGTTCCCCAACCAGCGTGTTTTTCATCTATTCATTTGCTAATATTTTCTCATACTAATCTATATTAAAACTGGGTAAATATCATTTAGAAACGCTCTGGCTCTGCCTTGTCGTATCAAGAAACTGGAGATTTACGGATAAAGGACTCGTTTTTTTAGTAACTGTCCTAGTTCGCTCTATAAATTTTACTCGTCAAACTGAAGACGAAAGAATTTTCGTACCAACAATGATGAAGTAATCTGTTTATCGGTGCGAATATAGTAGTACCGTGGCCAAAGTGTGTGTGTGTGTGTATCGTGTAGCGTAGGCATTTGATGTCGCTTTTCTTGTGCGTT